GGAGGGAGGGAGGGAGAGGAGAGGAGAGGAGAGGAGAGGAGAGGAGGAGAGGAGAGGAGCTTTTACTTCAATGCAGAATGACTCAGAGAGAACAACAGAGGAGGAGAACACAGAGAGTGAAGTAGAGAGACGAGGACGCTATCATTAATTATTTATTAATTATTTATTAGGATCCCCATTAGCTGCAGCCGAAACAACAGCTATTCTTCCTGGAGTCCAAACCAGACACAGTACTACATACATGACATACATAATCACTGACACTAATACATAATATGTGCTCATAGATTTGACCAATTGCATCGTTTCCTGCTCGTCACTGCTGCTGTACGAGGTGAAACATCAACATGTCGACAGAAAAACAAGATGTTTGATAGAAACGAAGAAGAAGAGGAGGAAGAGCAGACGTGGAAAATGTCTCATTTATGACAACTTTCGTGTGCATGTGTGTTTCTTTGCTGCAGTCGGCGCTAAGTGGGAGGAGTCAGAGGTGGTGAACTCCACGCAGGGTTTCTATTCGCTGAAAGGCCTCCAACCAGGATCTCAGTACCACCTGATGATCAAGCACGAAAACGACACCATGTGGGAAGATGTGAAGTGGACCATGGGACCAGGTGTGTGTGTGTGTGTGTGTGTGTGTCTGTGTGTCTGTGTGACAGTTTTCACACTAACAGTTTTGTTTCTGACCCTCAGCGCGGCCGGATCCTCCCAAAGATCTGTTTCTGTCTNAATAACTTTTGTTTTCGAACATCGCGTCATATTACGTAATGGGAGGGAGTCAGTCTCCTCAACTCTGTCTCAGCTAAGTGCACAGTAGGTGGTAGTGAGTCTGAGCGGTCGTGATATAGTGAGTTGGTCTGTTTTCAGTAGTTTAATTCTGCATTTATTTATCATCATCATCATCATGGTAAATTATTGTGTTTGTGCTGCCTGCCCAAACTCCAACCTGTCAGGACATCGGGTCCACCGTTTTCCTAACAGGAAAAGGAACGGTGCTATCTTTTGTGCCTGGGTGCATTTTGTGCAGGCGAAGAGACGGGACTTCACTTCAGCTTCTGTTTCTGAAAACGCCGTCGTATGTGGCGCTTATTTTAGACTGGAGGATTATCATCCCAGCAATATGATGGAGTTCAGGATGGGATGCCGATGCCAGGAGCGGGTGAGACCCAATGCTGGCATGGTTCCTTCAGTGTACGTATCTACAAGCTAACGCCGGTCACTGACCAAGACACCTGCCCAGTCCTCCACTGGTTCTCCTCGCACTGCAACTGAATCTCTCTCCTCTGAACGAATCTCTTTGACGCCTAACAGGCTCGTAATTATAAGGCTGTGGTCCATCATATTCGTATAAATACACATTCACAACCTCTTCAGTGTCACAACTAGCATTAATATCCATTAATTTTCCTATTGTTCAAATTGACCGCACTTCCAGTTTAGCTTTTTATGATGCGGAAGTAAAATTCTCTCACAAAAACGACACCAGAGGTCGCTGTAGTTTCAAATTCAGCTCCTACATCATTTTCCTACACATTGATTCACTGGGGTCTCCATCCTGCAATCTGCTCTTTAAAGTGTGCACTGTGCAGCGGGTTTATTTAAGAAAATAGAAGTATCAGATTGGGACTCGGTAATGGCCGATCATCCTTAGGACATCCTTAGTGTTAATCATTCACTAATGAATCTCTGTCTCTCTCAGTGCCGTCAGAGATGCCCGGAGGCTTCGCCACCCAGGGTTGGTTGATAGGACTCATCAGCGCTATCGTGCTGTTGGTGCTGATTCTGCTCATCCTCTGCCTTATCAAACGCAGCAAGGGCGGCAAATACGCAGGTGAGACAAACAACACACTCACGCATGTGCAGACTTTAATCTGCAGTCAAGAGTCTGATGTTGAGGTTTCTTCCTACAGTGAAGGACAAAGAGGACAAGGAGGTGGACTCTGAAGCTCGGCCGATGAAAGATGAGACCTTCGGAGAGTACAGGTGAGTCTGTCCTCTCCTCGAGTCAGAGGCGCCAATTTGATCACCCTGGAAACGTGAACATTAATACAAAGACTACAAACTGTTCAAGGGCATCACAGTATATTATTATGTTAAATCGGTCAGTTTATTGCACAGTGCAAATCTTAAACAATAATAGGGGACTGTCCAATTTTAAAAATATAGCGGAAACCAAGCCCGGTTCTAGGCAGGCACATATGAGGGGGCAGTCATAAATGTGAAGGGGGCATCATGCTCCAGCACATTTTTGCCATAGGTATCTGAAATTAATATGAGCAAATGTGGAGAAATTGTCAGCTGTGAGCTAGACATCATAAACTTGCGACCAAGATCACATTTTTCGCTCCACAAACATAAAAACTATATGTCTGCGTTTTGGGCGAGTGTGTCTCTCTGCTAGTATGATCAGATTGACGATTGGATCAACGGTTTGTGAATTAAAGGGAGGAGTTTGACACATTTTAAAGCCATCTCAATCTGCCTGCTCTCACATCTTTTCTCTCTCTCAGTGACAGACTCAGGATGTTTGAAGGGCAGAGGCGAAAAGGAAAAGAGGGCACCTACTACATGACATGGGGCCCATTGGTGCACAAAAAAACTAAATTTGACCCCCTAAACATGCTCAAAAACTCACCAAAATTGGCACACACGTCAGGACTGGCGAAAGTTTTGATCAAATTAAAAACTTAACCCCAAAAGTGCCAAAAGGAGCTCTCTAGCGCCACCGAAACACACATGGCCACTGCAGCCCGTAGGAATGTCACAGAAAGATTAAATCAAAACTGGCTTGTTCGTCTGATCAAGACCTACAAATCATGCACCCCTGACCTAAATCCAACAGGAAGCGAGCTAGTGCCTCTGAAAGTAACATAAGCAAATGTGGAGAAATTCTCAGCTGTGAGCTAGAGTGGAGAGCGGTCTAAAATCGTATAAAACTTTTGTCTTTAACTGTCTACGTGAGCTGGAGGCCAAAACGGCGTGAATCCGAGGTCCGGCCTAACGCTGCTTGCAGCTTTAATTGTCTTTGTTTTTGTTGACGGGCAGTGGCGGCTGGTTTTGAGCCATGACTCCTTCTATTCTGGCTCCCAATAACACAACAAGACAAACACATTTTAACACTCCTGTGTAGCCTACAGCCCTGTGGGGGAGAGGCAGCTGCACCTCCAGGTCATAAAATTGTCATTTCAACATCAGCCCTTGAAATGGTCTATATTTCTTCATGTTCATGCAAAATGCCAGCTGTCTGTCTCCCACCAGATCCAGGTGGTGCGCAAAGCCGGAAACTGAAGGGCGGCAAAATTGTTCCTGAGCTGCTTTATCTGCTTTTGTAACAAAACATAATTGATTCAGTCGGACAGGAAGCAGAGTGGCTTCATTTCTCAAGTATTAGTTATTATTTATATGTCATCTCCAGGTTATCTGTTTTAAAAGATTTACTACAATGCCTCAGAATACCTTTATTGTGGAACGAAATCTCTCCTAATTTACTTTATTTCCTGTTTTTGCTTTAATGTTTGAGCTGCTTGCTTCATTTGACCGTACAGCTCTAACGCTCCCAGCTCTCTGTCCTTCTTATCTCACCCTCCTTTCTTTCTTTCCTTAATGCTCCGCCTGCAGATCTCTGGAGAGGTGAGGAAGTTAATCACCTCTTTCATGCATGTTTTATTCCTCGTACCAGTTGTTGAATGTGTTGTGATGGTTTGTCATTATGTGTAATTAAACAACGTCTGTAGCAGAGAGAACCGGGCCAGTTACTGTTCCACTGATCCCATCAGTACGACAACTGTCATGTCAGCTGTTCTGCTCTGCCTTTTCCCCTGAACGGTGTCAAACTACCATGACTGTAACTTTGAATTTGGGAGAGTTAATTGCAGTGAGACAAGGGGAGATTTCAACTGGCCCTAAGGTTGTTGCTCAAACTACATATTAAACCTCCTCATTTACAGTGATGGCACTACAGAGCCGCTACGAAGTTCCGTCTTTATGCCTCCTTTGCATTTTTACACAGACCCAAACAACAGTGGCATCCTTCCGCTCCAGACAGCACGCCGACACTGCAGAGGCAAAAGAGGCATGGCCTTTAACACAACAGCGTTGGCACTAGTGTAACATGTGACAGACGTGTCAGCAGAGAATTATAAACAATAACAATGACATCACATGTCAATAACAATCACTTACCGTCTCTGTTATATGGCGGCTGGTCTCGTCCTCTGCTTGGAGGGTAAGGAGCTCCTGGGCCTCGCTGTTTTCACGATTTGTGAACAGCTGTTCTTCTTTGAGTTAGCTGCTAACTGCTATCAGCTGCTTTTTAAATCTCCCGCAGAGGGTCATACACAAAACATGTCGTCAAAACATCGCCTGTGCCACCCATGATCCTGTCCTGCTGGCTGTCCCGTTTATACAGACATCCATTCGACTCTGTTACTACCTCCGTTGCCAGAGACAACCCTGTCCCCCCTTTCTGTGATATGCAAATGGTCATTCTGTGGATGAAGTGTGTCTTTAACATTGATCAGGAGTACGACTATGAAAACATTGTTTCTGTTGAAAAAGAGAAAGTGTGTGGCGAGCATAACACGACTCTGTTGTACTGATGGAGTTAGAGCTGTGGAAATGTATTATCAGACTATAATTACAGTGACAGATATGTCCATCCTGTCAATGCATCTTTTTTTACCCTTTATTTGAGACTCCACCCTGATTTAATGCCCAGCTTGTACATGATGATTTAAGGTGGTTCCTGACGATGTTTCTGTCTGTGTCGTCTTTCAGTGACGCAGATGAGAAGCGCTCAGACAGCCAGCCGTCTCTGTGCGGGGAGAGCAAGCTGGGCAGCGACGACTCTCTGGCTGAATACGGGGACAGCGTGGACATCCAGTTCAACGAGGACGGCTCGTTCATCGGCCAGTACAGTGGCCGGGGGCCCGTCACCCACGGCAACGAGAGCTCTGGTCCCGCCTCTCCCGTCAACGCAGTCCCGCCTCCACCCATCGCTCCATCCATGTCGAGCATCCTGAACCGGCCCAGCTAGACACACACATACACACGACAAAAATACACACACACATACACACTGCCTGCCTGCAACAAAACACAAAGGGACAGACCACTCCTGACTCCACTGCCTGTAATGTAAAATTGCCAGAACACACACACACACAAACACACACACACACGCACGCACACAAACTCACACTGTCTCAGTACATTCCACAGGTTTATGCAGTGAAGATGTTTACAGGATGTCTCACCTTTCTACTCCGAGTTTACACACACACACACACACAC